AGCACGAACCCAGCCTGTCAGACACTACCACTACCTTGGCTTTGAAGAAACTTTCCCCTCAATCTTTTTGTGGCATCATGACACTGCACTCCACTCTGAATCAGCTCCAACATCCCAAACCCAACATCCTAATATCGTCAGAAAAGTGAGCAGTCAGAATGTGTTTCAGATCCATCTGGGATGGTAAGATCAGAAGTCTGTCGATTCTAATTAACTGGCTTAGCTTTTGCAGACTTTTTTCATGTTGGGACAGAGAAACATGTAACAGGGGTATTAAAATCAGATGCTTGCTTAATTGAGTCATAGTTAAAATTATTACCAGAACAGGATGTCTTATATAAATTCAGTTAATTAATTCAGCTGTTTCAAAGTTGCTTTCCCTAATTTTAACAAAACTGTTTCATCCTTGAAAAGAAGATCTCAAATCATTTACAGATCTATCCAAGAAACAGATCAAGTTAGAATAATTTGAGAGTAATTAGAGAGTAGATGTCGGCGATGCCTTAGAAACTGTCACACAGCTTTGGGTCTTGGTCAGCAGTATGTGTTAAACCGAATTAACTTGAAACAACTTGAAAATTCAATTTGGTGACTCAGCTGTCTGAGTATTGTTGAAACATGGAAAAACTAGCAAAGTGCTATTTTCTAAGCTGGCAATGTGGATGAATAATCGAATAATGGATTTCATTATCCATGCTGATGTTGTTATATATTCCACTTTTTGTTGGTAAAAGAAGCATAACGGTGTGACAGCTTTAGTTCAAGCAAAACAAAAAGTTATTTTGAGTGAAAATTTGTCAGAGACGAGGACTGGCAAAAGCCAACAGCGTTTGTACACAGTAGGAGATATGTTAGCATATTGTTATATTGTGTGTGTGCATCACTGTCTTTTCCATATCACCTTTAGTCTGTCCTAGGAAAGATTCCAAATTGATTTTATAGCAACTGGGTATACAGTTATATTTAACCATAGGACCCACCATAAACATCTACATCTACATGTCTCCCTATCACTATTTAATATTTTGTTCCTCTAAGTGCACAGGCAGGAACTGGAATCTTTGCCTCTGGTGGGAGGTAGCTCTGCAGCTCATTTAGCCAGTAGAGAAACCATAATACTCCTGTTTGGAGACGTTGCACCAAAAGAACATGGTGAAGACAGTGAGGCCGGCATCCTCAACAGCTAGCAGCAGATGAGGGAAGTGTCAGCTCAGTTTAGCTCCTAGAACACAGAGTAGGCTTAATTTTTCTTTAATGTCGTTATCTTGAAGACAAATTGTAACAAAGCCACAGATGAAAATAACTTTACTACCCTAGACCATTTCAGTGAATGTGTTTCAGGTATGTCTGCAACACAGTTAATGATACTCATTCAATTAAGCTCCTCGTTAAATATATTTAGACAGAAGTTACTTGGATATTATTTATAATTTAGTAATGAAGTGCTCATTGTAGACACAGCTAATGTAAACTCTGACTCTAATAAGGATAAATTCATCTACAGTTTTGTGCTTTCAGCTACAGTAGCGCAATATATTAAATCAACTATAGATAACAGTCATTTATTCACTTAATTATGTCCATTGCATTAGACCGAGTGCAGCTGTGCCTTTTGTATTGCATTCATTTGCAAAACAAGATCATGCAAGTCATTCTGAAAACCAATACAACACTGATTTGGTTCAGGATTGCTCATTTGAATTTTTAATTTTTTTTACGTTACTTATGTTACTGAAATAATGTTACTTACCTCACACAGCTTGACTAGTTGATATGATTAAATAGAACAACATCCTGTCTCATTATTTACAGTAACACATGCAGTCCCACTGTGTAGTGAGAGCCATTGTAGAACTCTCCCATCAGCCATACATCTTGCTGAAATGAAACATTACCAGCTTCAGGAGGGTTGTAAATTAGAAATGAAGAGGCATCTAGTGACAAAGACCTCCAGACCTGCACTGGGGCTCTCTGAGGCCCCACACAAACCACCATTTCAATTCTCCAAATAAATCCTTCTGTGGCCAAAACGGCCGGGAAGCAGTAATTCACACAACTGCATGCAGTGGAAAGAGAGACTCACATGATGGCTACATCTCTCCTTCTCCAGTGACACCAGAATATTCCCCTCTGAGATCCTCAGTCCCAAAAGCCCCAAAGAGCATTGACTCAGTCTGACAAAACAGAGCTGTCACAGTGCTGTCTGCACTGAGACAGAAAACACTATCTATCTATCTATCTAGCTATCTATTATCTATCTATCTAATCTATCTACTCTATCTATCGATCTATCGATCTATCTATACATGATCTATCTATACATGATCTATCTATACATCTATAATACATCCATCCATCTATCCCTTTTGTGTATCAGGGTCTGGACACAGCTCTGTGCTCTGCACACATTCTGCTCCATGTGGCTTCAGCCTCATGTGTTGCTTCTGTTTGGACAGCGCCGAGACAATCAGATCTGTGTTAAATGCGGCCTCACACTGGGCTCCACACTGATTGGTGTGTCAACACAGGCTGGATTTCAACTGCCTGCTCAAATGTGACTCTGTTTGGTGTGCTGCCCATTCAAATCCAACTGAGATCTGATGAATAGGTGAGAGCAAGCTCATCAGATTTGAGCAGGCAGTGTAAATCCAGCCCATGTTGACTGACACACCAATCAGCAAAGAACAGAGCGAGAATGTGTGTTTGTCACAGAAAAGCTCTCTGCCCCTTCAAATATGGGTGACAAGTCTTTATTTTGTTCCTCTGTGAAATGATTCTTTATTGCAGGCTAAAAACAATGTTTCTATTTGTTTTCGCAACACACAAAAGAAACAAGATCATCACATGTCACATGTAGGTGAGAGAAATTAAGGATTTGATCCAGCAGTTAAAATGACATGGCAGTCGGTTTAAGACAGCTCTCTGGAGGATTTGGTGCTGCTGGTTGGATAGGGAGGTGGCACCAAAAGAAGGGAGAGAGTCACAACCAAATCACTGTAATTAGTAGAAGAAGCACAGGAGACTAGTGCCCCCCAGTGTTTGCTTGATATACAGTTTGATTTGTTTCTGAATGCTGCTGTGAAATGAATGGATTAACTCACCTTGTAGAAATTATCTTATTTGTGATGTGCACTGATCTGGTGAATTTGGAATTGTAAGTTTTGGCAACATAATACCATAAAACCTCACCTTCAACTGCTGATACACTCACTGCTGCATTGCTGATTGTTTGTACATACGTAAGGTTTGAGGTCTGTTGGATTCTTTGATTGTTAATCCATACTATGAATAAATAAGCAGTATTTAATGTATCTGAGGCATAATCACTTTAAATATCACATTAAAACACTAATTGTTTAGTGTAAGAAGTGGTAATTACCGTTTACTTGAGCACTTTGCTTTTCTTCATAGAAAATGGTTTCATCCTGGACCCGTTTGTAATTCATGGAGGAATTCTTCACTAGATCCTTTCAGTAGCGATTCTCCACGGAGAGGCATTAAGACTGTGTTGACCCATATTACTTCATATATTTTCGGCATACAGTATGACTTTAGCCATTCTCTGACTCAATACTCATAATCCCTTTGTGTAGGTTGGATTGATGCCGTTCATCATTCACTCGTCTCTCTCTCACTGGCTGGTTGCTATCAATGTGTTACCCAGGTGAGTCAGGAAGGTCATGTGACTCACAGGATTTCAAAGGGTGCCATTGTGCTGCATTTGCCCTTTCTTCTAAAACAAGATGAAATGTTACAGGCTTATCACGCATAGCAGGCTAATGGTGTATCATTACAGGGAATATAAATTTAATTCAACTTTGGTGAAGTGTGTGAAAGCACCAGTATTAAATGGTTCTGAAGGCCTGTGTGGATATGTATTAGTAAAAGAAAAAGGTAAAGACACAATTTGCTCTGACAAAGTGCCAGCCTGGTTGGTTTAATGACATTTTAAGAACTTCATCTGAATATCCCATTGAGCCTAATGATACATCCTTTCCCCCTGGAGCTAAAGTCCTGTCTCTGTGGGAACCAACTGATAGCAGGTAGACTTTGCCCTGTAGGGGAACTAACACTACAGGAAGAGTTGCAGGGCAAATTCTGGGCCGTCACAGCAGAGGTAAGACACATTTTAATGGATCAGAGCTGTAATAATTCATTTATGTGAACAAGACCCAAGTCAAACAGCAACTGATCACTTGTTGAAGACTTGAAAAACATGAGGGTGTTTCTTGGATGAGTTTCATTCATCCTATCTCGGAAGTGATGTTCAAGCCTTTCTGGCTATGTAGGCGAACAAAACTAAGTCCACTTCATATCAGTCAAATATTGAGTGAGTTTAGGAACTTGAAGTAGGAACCGAAAGACAAAATGTGGTTGTAGATGGCAGATGATTTGTCACTGCCATGAGTTCAAAAGTCGTTACTAATAACTGATAGATAGTGATAGTGTATTATTTATTAAGCCAGAGGGAGACAGATTTATATGCATGGCTGATTATTCTTTGATACTAGACTCAGTTCTTTATCTACAAGCAGTGTAGTTATTGCTTTACCACAGTATTATATCATACAGAGTTGGCCATTGTGAGGCTAACTATAACTTAATTTCTTCAATGAATAATGCAAAACCGGGGACCTTACTTTGTTACTCTCACGTCTTCACTATGTATAAAATATGATCCCTGAGTTTACTGTCTGTCTGTTCTTCTTGATGACAACTGCCTTTCCTTTGAGATCAATTAACCACAACCTATTTGGTCATTAAATATACATACAGCTCTATTAAATGGAGACTTAAGGCCATAATTATGAATGTTAGTCATGGATGGCTCTCAGTGTTTGTGTGATGCATCATTTTGTAATTACCCATTTGTTTTTTCCACACTGACATTGCCCCATTTACCATCACTGATGAAAGCGCTGACGTGTTCAAAAAGAATACTTTTGTTCTCAGCCATGACCTTAACTTACTTGTAACTTTGACATTTTTTTTCTGGTCAGTTTTGTGCCTCAGTTAAGGAAAAGATCTGCCAGGTTTTGGTGGAATGGAGCACACTAAAGGCAGCAACAATGGTGGTTATGGAGCTAACCCTCCTCCATACAATCCTCAGGACTATGGACACAGTTCTTACACAGGGATGAGCTATCAGGTTAGTAGAAAAATTAGAACATTTTTGTTGGCCCACAGGAGAAAAGAGAAAGAGGCGGTGAGCTTAAAACCATGTTTTTTTCCTATTCAGTTTGTCAAACTATTAGTATTAGCCACACACACACACTACCAGCCTTTGATCATCCTAAATCCTTATTAAAACAATTTTGATTAGACATGACTGATTTTCTTTCATTAATGCACTTCAAAAAGAAAACTAAGAACACGGTTCATGATTTATGCTCAAAAGTAGAATTTTTTAGAAGTTTTACCTGCTGTGTTTTTGTTGGTTTGGATGAACCAGGTAGGGGACGGGAACGTTGCAGTGGTCTCCCCTCCTGGCAACTATGATAACATGGTCCACCCTGAGGAACTGACAGCAGCTGGAGGCAACCAGCAGTACGGTCACGCTCCACCTGACTACTCTCAGGGCATAGAGGATAGCAGCTTCAGTGATGCTGCCATACGAAGAGGTGAGGACTGTAGGGAGTGAGGAATGGGCGCAGAGAGAAACAGAAATTGAGAGAAGCTAATATATTTTTTGTTTGCATGGTCACAAGTGAAAAAGGGATACGCAATATTTACTCCCTCATTTGCTTTGCAGTGTTATCTCGAAATTGATTTGAAATTGAAAATAGTTTTCTGATGTACCCTGCCTCAGCTCGTCACCTCCCACGCAACACAAATCATTTTAAATGAGAGGATGAAATGCAGTTTTGATGAAACAGAGCCATTCTGAAATGTTATGCGGCACAAACAACCCTATCCGCCTGTCTTTATCTGTCTGTTTCCATTTGTTTTAGCTGTTGTCTATATTTCTCCTGTCTGTCTACCTTTCTATGTGTCTGTATCATTCTTTCAGGTTTCATAAGGAAAGTCTACTTGACGTTGATGATTCAGCTGCTTGTGACTGTCGGGATCATCTGCACTTTTCTTTACTGGTGAGGCACCATTACACAAGAGAATTCCCTCCAAAAAGAGATGAATCCATGTCAGGAACCTATTCATCTTTCCACATTTAGTGTAGTCTGTCGGCATGTTAAGGCACCCAACATCACACAGGAGCACAAGTACCATAGTTGTCCCCAAAAAACTTGCATGCAACCCAGCACTGCTTAAATCATCACAAATATGTGAGGTGAGACAAGATGGTAGGGAATAAAAGAATGAAAATTCTGCCACATTATATTTTTGCTTGCAGTAATTTGAAAGCTTTATGTATCTTGTGTAATGGATGTGGTTGAACACATCTGCAGTCATTTCTTTTCATGAATTGTATTCAGCTCCCATGTGCACAATGCCCTGTCCTCTGTTAATATTTAATATAATCATTTTACTGCCACTATCAAATAAATGGTCCCTCTATTAAACACTCCCCTCCCTTTTTCTTATTGAATAACAGGAACGATCTCAGGATATGGGCATGGGACAACTTCTGGTTCACCTACGCCATGATGTAAGCTGTCAAACCATTCAGTTAGATTGTCTAGACGCTGCACACTTTATTCTTTTAACCCTTTTGACCACCTACAGATCTCCTGGTGGTGAGTTACTCTCCTGGAACTCCATAGAAGTAAATCACAAACTGTCACCCCAGTCTGACTCTCAATCCAAGAAACTGCCAGATACACTGTACATAAATAATGCACTCAGTGGATTCACATATTGAACACAGTGCTTTTTTCTGTTTATAGCCTGTTTATTTGCTATTTACGATACACTCTATATTCTCTGTGAAACAGGGGAGTGGTGACAGTGCTCATTGTGGTCTTGTCCTGCTGTGACAACATCCGCCGTCGAGTCCCCCTCAATTTCATCGCCCTGGGCCTGTTTGTGAGTAGAAGCAGTACTAGCCAGGCATCAAATTAAACCCCCACCACACCTGCTCTATTTCACAGGTTTTTTGTCATGTATTTACTTTCCATTTGTCTCTCCCTCTCGCCCCCTTCTCTCTCTCTCTCTCTCAGACTGTTGCAGAGGGCCTGATGCTTGGCGCTGTGGCAGCGTGAGTGTTTGTTTCCAAGGATGAATCCCCACCTGATGCTGACTCATTTACACAATAATAGCCCTATTTGATGCATATCTGGTAGTGTTTTGGATGCCAGCGATGAAGCCATCAAACCCGATAAGATGTTATCAGTGCTGGTTTACTAAATTAGAAAGGTTTTTTGGCTGAAGATAAATCAGAAGCATCACAAATAGTTAAAAACCAATTTTTCTGTACCGGTGCCTGTGTAAACACGAGTTACCGTTTCCATCTGTGAGACATTTCTTTTTTAGCAGCTTGTCACTGTGACAGAAAAAGGCATCAGTTGAAGCCTGGCTATCAATAATACATTTAAATTATCATATTTATAGGACATTGCCGTAACTGAAGCTGTACTGTAACTGCAATGAAATAAGCAATACATTATGCAATGCACGTCCAGAGGGGGGTCCCTGCCATCAGACACATTATACAGACTATTAAATGTAAAAATATCAAATTTCTTATAAGAAAATAATGTTTCCCTTTTAGGGTAGAACACAACCCTACTGTTCATGTACTGTATGCACTCTGCTTGCTGACTAGTTAGACATGATACTGTGGGGTGTCTTTCCCACTGCATATCTGTTTGATATTTCTGTCTGCAGGTGCTTTGATGCCGAAGCAGTTCTGTGGGCTGTGGGGGCAACAGCGCTGGTGTCCTTCGCCTTGACTCTGTTTGCTATGCAGTCAAAGGTATGATCTGTCACACACTCTGAACTCAGTTTGCACGGCAGCCAAAATGGAAATTTCATAAACTGTGGCGACTTCTGCTATGCAGTCAGTGGTAAATGTCCATATTCTGAGCTGTGTTTCCTGTGCAGTCAAAGGAAAAGTGTTAAGCTGAGTAGTTGGCCAGACTTTCTCATGCAGTGTTTGCTATATGCTGTCACCGGCAAAGGTTTAAAACTCTGATGAGTTTGCTGTCCATGATTACTGCTGAGATCAGTGTATTTGTCAATCAAGTTAATTCCTCATGTCCAGTGGTGGGACAGAGTTAAGCCTCTGGGCTGTCCTCATGCTGGCTGAGGTTCATACCATAAATCTGGAGTTCAGAAATGGCCTGCAGCCTTTTGTCATTTGCTAAATACCTCCTCTCTTGTGTTTCCTTCCACTCTAATAAAGCAAACACACAAGATGAATCTTTCAAGTCCCTTTCAGGGAGACACGATGCTTGTCCATTAAGATATATTTTAATAATAAAAAGGTAATTTCTGGTGCGTTTTGTGCAGTGGCATGCCCATACACTTAAAAGGCAGAAAATCCAGTTGACTTGCATTCTTGATTTCTCATTAAGAATCTAACTCTGATATCAAAGTGGACCCTGAAGTAGTTTCTCCTCCCAGATCATTTCATCATTTTATTTTTTGCACAAAGTATAGATACAAAGTGTTAATATTTCCAGTGATGTCACTCACTTTATATAAAATAGCTTTGCTTGTGTAAGTGAAATTCAAAAGTTGCAATGGTTTATTCAACTTTTAGAATCACTTCATTGGCAGTTTGGCATGCTGCTTCAATAAAAGGCTCATATTCAGAACAAAAGTAATCATACAGTCAGTGGGGCAAAAAATTAGACAAGTGAAATAGATGTAGGCCAAATTCAAATTGCATTTAGAGTCCTTATTAATTGCCTCTAAATGGAGTTTGGCATTTCACACATTTTGCCACTTATTTCATCTGAAGGAGCTGCAGACATTTATTTCTACTGCTTTGATTGGATAAAACAAGGCAAGCAGGTGTCTAATGATTATACTGAGAATATATCTCTCCTTAAATGCTCTCTGCTCATTAATCTGTAGAAAGAAGCTTTAAAGCTGCTTGTAGAGTGGGAATACTGTGATATGAATAGAAAACGTGGCCGTAACCGTAGCCGTTTTGTTTTATTTATTTTTTTTCATCGACTTCACTTTGCAGAATCCAGCACCTCTTGCTCTGCAGATCACACTGTGTGCAGAGCTTTTTTGTGATATAAATGTCATACAGGCAGCCTTGCGTGTTCAGCTCATAGCTTCTCAGGTGATCAGTATTAGTGATTCTCCTGTAGTCCTGCAATTTTTTTCAGTCTATCTGAAAAGGGCATGAGGCCAAAAGGCCACCTCACCTCTCCTCCCCCGTGCCTGCTTAGCAGCTTGCTGATAAATTATCCCGCATCATTATATCCAGGATCGTTAGGATTTTCTTGTGTGTTGGACTGCAATGTGTCTTCATCATTTAGTAATCTGTGGCGCCTCACAGCACAGCTGCAATGCAGACGACCTTGAGCGCCCTGGCTTTTATGGCAATGATGAGTGTACATGAGAAATGTTCTATCTACAGTTTTCTGCTTGAAAGGCTCATCACATTCACTTTCTCTCTCTTCTCCTCCCTTTTCTGGCACCAGTGGGACTTCACCGGAGCAAATGGGAGCCTGTGGGTGTTTGCCTGGACCGTCTTTTCATTTGCAATGCTTTGTGCAATCCTCCGATCGCAGGTAGATCAAGGAGCCGCTGTGTTTACACCCATGTTTGCAGTGAGAACATGTTTGAAATGAATTGCAGTGGTGTGCAGTTAGAGGCAGACAGTACGTACGGCCTCATAGCTTTCATCCACAGGATGTACTGGCACTGACCTGTGCGCTGAGCAGACTACAAAGGAGAGTGTGCATTCTCAAACCTCTCAGGAGTTGCACTGATCTCAGACTGATGCATTTAAATGTGCACTGCTGTAGACTGTGACAGCTTTTAGTGTTTAAGGAGGGAATTCACAGAAATAAGCATACTATTGATTTTAAACTGCTATTCTTACACAACCACAAGTGGACTGGAAAAGAAAATAAACACTGCCTTTCTAAAGCATAGTGTTCACCCATTATCAGCCTTTACTATCATATTTACTTTTTCAGCTACTGGGTTATACAGTGAGGCTGAATTATTGTGTCCACAAAAAGCCAGCTGTATCATTATACTAAGATAGAAAAAAACAATTCATTCTAAATGGTAAAAAATTTTTTTAACAACATATTACCCATACCCATATATGATTTGTGGAAGAAGTAATCAAACATGGATAAAAAGTCAATTATTCTGCTGATTTTGTGTTTCTGATTCTTTCCACAGTATCTTTACATCCTGTACGCCTGCCTGGGAACCTTGCTGTTTTCTTTAGTAAGTACACTCAGACATTTCTGCAACACAGGTTGATTCGAAACTGAAAATGACCTTTTAAAATGAAAGAAACCATCATTAAAGATGGCTTAATGTCAAGTGAGTGAATGCGATGTAAGATCTGGTCCCAGCCTGCCTCCAGTGACTGTGACAGTAGTTAGTGTATAGAGAGAGACTCTGATGTCCTCATGCCCTTTAATTTCAATTATGCACTGCTTAACAGCAGTAGGCTTCATTTTCACAGCCACCTCTCTGCGTGCCTTTGGCATTAACAGCAAATGTTGTGACCCATCCAGTCAGCTGGTGGAACAAACTGCGACTGCACACAGAGCTGAACAGGCTGTCAGCAGCAAGTCACAACATATTTTCAGCTGCACAACTCTGACTACACGATTATTTACATGGCCTTTTTATCTGCACAGTCCCCTCTCTCAAAGATAAAGAAATACTGCCCGTGTTTTCTTTCACACCGATTCTTGTAACCGGCTCTCTGTCTCTTTCATCACACTAACACGCTGTCTTCAGTGTTTAAGCATCTCATCTCTCTTTCTGCAGTATTTGGTGTTTGATACCCAACTTATCCTGGGTGGGAAGCACAGGAAGTATGCAGTCTCTCCTGAGGAGTATGTGTTTGCTGCACTCAACCTCTATTTGGACATTGTCTCCTTGTTCCTCCTGCTGCTGCAGCTCATCGGGCTCTGCCGCTAACACTGAACCTCCATGACAGGTCTCCCTACAGAAACACAGACGCTCCTCAAATGATGTCTCAATGTCAAACTGTTCAGTACATCATGTATCTAGATTCACAGCCCACAAACATCATATTTACATAAGCAGAGATGAATGTGATGTGTTTTGTTTGTATACACAGCAATATGCAGTGTACAAAATGTTTTGCTATATTTGAGATTTTTATACCACACTAGCATGCATTTTTACCTATAACTTATAATTCATGTGCTTAGCTTTAACTCAACTGCTATTTTCAATTTTCTGTGGCAGGAAACTGAAACTTTAAAGTAAATTCAAAGTGTCGGAACAATTACTAGTACTTTGCAGTAATATTATCATGTGCAAAGTAGTTCAGACATCCTGTGATCTGTGCAACATTTAGACAGTTTTGCTGTTAAGATCACATTGTCATTTGTTCTGTAGTTAAACCAGAAACCAAACCAACTCCATTAAAGGACATCATTTGTCAGTCCTAACACTCCCATAAAAGTGGGTGCTCTGTGACTTCTTTCTCTTCAATATATAATGTTTGCTCAGTAGTAGTGCAATGTAGGTATCTCATTAACAAAACAAAAAAAAACACATTAAAACTCAACACAGTTTATTGGCATTACACATCAAACATTTTTCATATAAAGAGGGAATGTATCAAGTATAGACTATGAAAGTGCAAATAGCATTTCAAGGATTAGTTGCTTTACAATAGAAAACCTCAATGAGTTACAAAATGTTATGTCATTTTAAAATAAATCACCTGGACAGTATTGGTGAAATACAAAGGAAGTACAAATTCCATTATAACCATTCCATGCACAGCAAACTGTTACACAAAAAGGGCCACATGTGTTATATCCTGTTTAACCCACGCACATTAACCAAGTTCACCTAACCCTATGGCACTCAGTTTCACAACTTCAAGACACTTATTAAAGTAATCACTATCCTTAGGTTTAATGTGGCTCTATACGTCTACTAGAAAAAATAAGCTAACTTACTTCAGTCAGACATTAGTCTGTGCAAAAACATAATTAGGTCTTACAGGTAAAACACTGATCAGTGTTTCATTTCATATTGGTTATTCACAATCCATTCTCTTTAATGGATCAGATTTATTTTAAATAAATACCTACTTTATATTGCAACTTTCCTCCATTTTAGTGTCTTCAGATAAGATACATGATACACATACAGTAGGTCAACTCATTCCAAAGTCAATACAGTGATTTTAGTTTCTAAACCACAGAAAAACCAACTGTTTCAAAATGCGGGTCAAGAAGCCCTTCTGCACACAAAAATGAAAGAAATAAAAAATATTTGGAAAAGATTTGAAATTTGACATTAACCCATTATACCAAATCTTATAAAATCAGTGTTAACCATTAACATAATACTACTAGAACCAACAAAAAGCCTCATGCTACAAATATTTTGATGGAAAAAAAAGAAATTAAGATCTCATATTTGCCCACTATAAACTTTATGAGAGAAATAACTTTAAGGTAACAGGTGTTTGTTTTGTTTACACTGTAAATACTGTGTAATTAGCACTCAGAAAAACGTGTGAAAAATAATTAAATAATGGTGATTGACATAAAGGCACTATATCTCTAAATGCGTAGAGAACCGTTTCAAAGACATGGTTCCCCCCATGTGTTTGAGATGCAATACACATTCATGAATTCTCCATGCATAACCCTGCAGCCCGGGACATCTGCAGAGCTCTAACAAGGCTTTGCTTACATTAACACTTAAATAGAACCCAGAGATAAATTACAGTGACTTGGGCTTGATTAATTAATTCACCAAAGTCTGAATGTGATTGCCTGATTATCTCTTTCACTGGCCTTTCCCGCCATGTATAAACAAGACTACTCACTGTCTACTTAGTCTGTTATGCTCCACATTCAGCTGCAGTACTCAAACATTAATTTAAGCAACAATGGGATTCAGAACATACTGAACTGAATGCCACTGAGCAGCCCCTCTGGGCCTGTCAACGTTTGTCGTTTTTGAAGATCACAAGATGTTTCCCATTGAAAGTGGGATTGAGGCTTTGAGATGAATAACTATTGTCTCCTCAATTTTGAAATGTTTTTGAGGAGGCTACCAACTTTTCTTTAGAAGAATAATGAATCTAAATTGTTTCGTGTGAATGTTTCACTAAATGAAGTACTAAACCATTATGGTTTTTCACTATAGATTTAAACAGCACACCACAGCTTTTAGATAGTGAGATTTGAAAATATATCTCAGCCGCAATCTCAAACAAAATATGGCTCGAGACTTTCACATTTAAGTTTAGCTGAGTTGTTGAGATTGTAATAAGCAGGCACAACTTGCTTTGAATCCACTTGGTGACTGCAAATTGTGCTTTTTGCTCGTCAGTGTTTGGCACCTATAAAGTAGGCAGATTTGGACAGGTGAAAGAGACAACTTTCCAGCCTGTACCCCACAGATTGAATGTTGGAGCTAGATATTAATCTGCTCATATGTACAGTTGAAAAACCTCCCTCAGACCTGATTCAGACACATACAGTAGGCTTTTACTCCAGTGGAGGAAAAAACAAATGCCTGCACTACGCTTAAATCTCTAAATCTCTTATGTCCTCTAAAATTGTTTTCAGAGAAAGCAACATATTCATTGCACAATCATTTTAGGAAATATATCCTTGAAAATTGTAATGACATCTTTTTACTAATCTTTTCTGTAGTTAGTACTTTCTTTGCAGGAGGGCTGGTTGCTGGGGGACTGACAATACAGTAAATGCATGTAACCGATCTAACTGCAATACTACACTAAATACTTCTGCCCCCACTTTCCAATGAACACATTCTTCATCCTGTATACATTCCATCTGAACAGCTACAACAAATATTCCTCAACTCTATTCAATTTGCAATCTATAGTGTTTTTTTGGCCTTTCCCAAAAAGCTCCCTCCCATCTCAGCCAATCACTTCATACCAAGTGCACTTGGTCCTCCCACTCAGACGAGCTGGTGCTGGCCAGCTGATCGGATATGGAGTCACACTGCGGAGTGTCGACATGGCCTCCCCGTTTGGCATGGTCTCCACTTGCGTCGAGGGTGGCCATGTAAGGTAGTGGGATGGTGTCAAGCCCCACTAGATCTAACTGGGTCGGCCTCTCAGCGACAGCACACTCCTTCTCCTCCATGTTGCTCAGTCTCTGTGAGCAGAAACCCACATCTGCCATCACTTCCTGAGGTTTCCTGTTTTCAGCTAGGACGGCCCCGCCTTTCTCATCATCCTGCAGGCACCCACCTCCGCCTGCATGGAGTGCGCTGAGGTTTGAGTCAGTGTCAGAGGAGGTTGAAGGGACCAGGGTGATACCTTGAGGATTCATGTCGTGGAACCAAGCCATGATGTTGCCTAGCAGGTTAGCATTTGCTGCCAACATGGAGGACGAGGATGGGTCGTGGCTGCCGCATGTGGTCGAATCTATCGTGTCACTGGAAGAGGAGAAGAGGCCTGTTGATGAGTTGCTGCCACCCTGAGCCACTGGTATTGGCACAGAAGCCCTGTAGACACGGTGGTGACTGTCACAGTGCTGTACAGAGGTGTGGACACCAGTGGCAGCGGAGTATTGACTGCTGATGTTGCCAAGTCGAGCCAAGTTATCTCCCAGCTCCAGCAGTTCTGAGCTGCTTAGGGAAGCTCTGGGGAGGACCTCTACACCTGGAGTACTCTGTTCAAGCCTAGAAGGCAGGGAGGTGCCGATAGCACCAAGTGAGGCTTCGTTGGCTAGGACGTCATGGTTGGACCCACTCCCTGCCATCCCTGAGTCCTGGAGTGACAGCTGAATGGCCAGTAGAATATTAGGGTCATCGTCATCCAAAGAACCTAGACCCTGCAAGACACAGTGTCAGTGATGCAGGATGAACTAATATCATCCAGTTACAGAGCACCAGCAGCGTCACACCTGCAGTTCAAGTCCAACATGCCCAACCTATAGGCAAGTAAGGTAAAAGCAGCAGCAGGCTAGGACTGCAGATGTAGACATGCTGTGTGTCACCTGCAGACAAGGAAAATAATAGCTGCTGCTGTTTGCTGTGTGTGTTTTTGAGGTTTTACATTTAAAAAAAAACAACAATGGTAAAAGATAAGGCTTGTGATATTGTGTATTTTTATTGCCGTCAAACAAAAGAAATAGCTGTGTTTGTCTTTCAGTATGTACTTTCCCAACTGTGGCCGTCACCCCCGACCCGATTCACAATTAAGTATTATTTTTTTTAAAAGGCAAAAACAAAAAAGAATCATTATCATCTCAAAAGCTACGAACTGTAGTTTTAGCAAACACTAGGAGATTTTCAGCTGCTGTGTCCATTTTGATAGGAAAATGTCACCCAGTGAATGGTGTGGCTCACTGATAAATACATATTTTGTACATTCATTTAATCTGTTTATTTTACTAGACGGAAGACAGGTGAGTCCATACTCCTTATTCATCATAATTTGACCTGTAATTCTGTTTTATACTACAATTTCAGACAATCCCTCAATCTCTGTTTGCCTCTAAAATATACCAAAAAATAAACCAAATAAACCCAAAACAAGTCACGCAAAATGTTGTTAGCCCTGCATTAGTGGAAATAAGAAAAAGGAGGCCTTCAGAAATCGGTCCAGCTAGATCAATGCTGTATTTTCTTTCACATTGTCTGAGAAGTTTCAAATGCTGTAAGCCTTGAGTTGAGGTAAAAATGGTAACTGTGCACTCACCATCAGAGGACCTTGTCGACGTCCACCTCCAACATCCTGTGTGTCTTTGTAGAAAAAGAAATTGATAAAGACACCCACAGTCAAAATATTGTCATTATACTGAATTGCTACAGCAGTACTTCGACAGCAATTTAACCCATTGATAATTACCACTTTTAAGACATCTTAGTTTTAGTGACGAGTGAAAAATGATCAAGTAATAGCAACCTCAAAGAGTACCTGCTTTCAGCATTTTTCCCAGAAATTCACTAATTTAGTATCTTAAATTAATTAATCCTTGGCACAACAGAACCCATTGCCTGGCTTCAAAACTGCAAACTCCATCCATCTTTCACTACACACAGCCAAAAACAAAGCAGCACGGTGATGGACAAGACTGATGGATTAGAAATATTGGCTTATTGAACTTGAGCAGTTGTGATTTTCCAAAGTTCGGGCCTGTACCCTAATTTGGGTTGTGTATCAATCAGTGTATCACTATCTGAGAGAGGATAACTGGATCAATGTAGTTTAATTTAATGGATATGTATTATTTTATCATTGATTATAAAAGTTGGCATGTACTCTAGATTACATTAACATATTCATCACCTATGTTTTATTACAAAAAGGCAAAACTGTCCTATAAAGAAAGTCCATCACTAAGAAAAAAATGAGAAACTCCTGAGAGAGTCTTGTGTGTCTACTCCAGTACCTGAAGTGCTGTCACTGGGGTCATCAGGGTCGGGTGTGTTGCTACGGAGACTGGACATGTCGCCTCGCCTCCGCTGCCTATGTCTCCGTCTGTACTGGAACTCTGCATACTCCTTAAAAGGATAAAAAAAAAAAAAAAAACACTTCATCGATTAATACTATTGCTTAATTTAAAGAAATGCTCTAATCCTGCAGTTCTCCTGTCAGAATGTTCCTATCTCTCATTATCAACATATCACAGCTGCACATTTTCCTTGATTTATATTTCATTTGTTTTGACACTAACATTTCATAGGTCAAATCTGTAACTTTGATTCAAGTTGTGAAGCAGTCTGCTTTGCATTTGGTGTTCCAGGAAAGATCAGCACCTAGAGACTTATTCAAGCCCTTTCATCTCCAGACCAAGCCTTCAGTCATTAGGCTCCAGTCTAGAGCACATACTCACTGGAAGGGAATTAGAAATTAAGCAGCAAAGTTCAGATGTTTGGAAATGCTACATGTTTAATAAAGGCAAACCTGAAAATTATGTTATTAAAAAGTAAAGTAAATAAAATACTTATTTACTGAGTGAATTACAAATACATGTTTAGTCCAGGTTATAATGGGTATGAAATTATGTAAACCGCTACCTTTAACTAGCCTAAAAGCAGTCTTACTTCATACTGCATGTTCTCTGCATTGTAAGATAATAATATCTTTCATTATAATGACAAACAAAAAACCTCTAATTTAAAATTTCTGGCACATTGTCACTCCAGGGAGGTTAAATGATGTAGACTCAATTAACACAGACAGTTTCACAGAGCCTGTCTAAATCAAATTACAAAAAGAGCACTATAGTGCAGTAGGTGTGTACGCATATGTGCGTGTTTCTAATTATAGGATATCTATGTGCGTGTGACAGTTCCTTGTAATAATTTAACAATGCTGTTATCAATGACTGAGATCCAATGATTGTGATTCAAAAGATATGATGGCATCAAATAATGATTGATATAATGCAGCCTAAAATATATCCAGTAAAACAAAGTGTAAGAGGAAGCATATACCTAGTTTAGGCATGCCCTGCATATATATTCTGTCAAACGGAAAACAATACAGTGTATGCGTCTGTCATCTTAGTTTAACTTCAAACCAGTCTGAAGTTATTTTGGAAATAAATTCTAGAAAGTAGGAATCTTAATTTCAAGGTTATTCTCCAACCAGATGGTACTTAGTGGTAAACTGCAAACTGAATGTAAATCTGAATGCCACTACCAGCCAGTCCATAAACTAGCCATAAATGCATTGCTCCTTTAACTTTGGTTTTAGATGAACATGAAAAGGTTAGATACACTGAATTTGAACATCTGCATATCAATACCTCGGGAAATAATAATAAACTTCTTTCCCCATTCAATCATCTCATACATTTGCAAAAGTCATTGAGTCTCATTCATATAATCAGAAGCCTGTCACCCAAACTCTGTTTCATGTTTCCACCGCTCTAAAAATAGCCCACTATGAAGTGATCTGCAGGCATTGTAAGAACCATGGTGCAGACCATCTGTAGCTGTGCCTGTGAGGCAGTCATCAGGCTTTGATTATTACTATGGCGCCCCCATTAACTACTGCAGCTGAGAGACAGAGGCTCTTAATTAGGGGACAAAAATAAAAAAAAACTTTTTTAGAACGGCATGGTGTTCAGCATCTGGTGGCTACATTTAACTTCCTTTTAGACACACGCCCAAAATAATTTATTGACATGCTGATAGAATATTGCAAGCTTGTCTGTTATTTAAAAGGGGGGTAGAGGTGAAAGGA